AAAAAAAAAAAAAAAAAAAAAAAATTGCATCTAGAAAGATGTATCTCCCCCAGTCACCAACACATAGCTGCACACTCCGGGCACTGCTGTTATTTTCTTACTTTGAGACAGGGTGTCCTTAAATTGCCCAGACTGGGCTTGACGTTGGGATCCTCTTGCTTCACCTTCCAAGTAGCTGAGATTACAGGTGTGCACCCTCATATCCTACACCCTCCTCCTCCTTTTTTTGACTAATTTATAGGCAGGAGATGCAAGGCAGAGGTTGTAACATGTTTTGGCTAGTTGCATAAGGTTGAAAGAATTAAACAACAGCAACATTGTTTAAAGTACCTCAGTCAGGAAACAGCTTGCATGTCTATCAAGGAAGCCACGTCAGAGACCTTACAGCGAATCTGTAAAACAAAAAGCTGTCCCATCACTCAAAAGAATGAGACAGGCGTTACCCCACACCCTGTGCTTTAAAAGTGAGCTCAGTCGACGTGCACTGTGCACAAAGATGATACAGGTGTTATTATGTGAGAAAAGCACATACTATAGTTTGAGGCCACCCTGGGCTTCATAGTGAGTTCAAGGCCAGCCTGGACTACTGTCTCAAAAAAAAAATAAAAAGCACATTGTATACTAATACGTATAGCATGCTTTTCCCAGCCCTGTACTGGGAATGGAACCCAGGGCCTTTGTACTGAACTACACAGCCAGCCCTTTTTAAAATGTTATCTTAAAAAAAAAATAAGATAAAATTTTTATCTTAGGGACTGGGGATTTAGCTCAGTGGCACAGTGCCTAGCTGGCAAATGTAAGATCCTGAGTTCCATTCCCGGTACCCACCCCCACCAAAAAAAAATTGAAAATAAATAAAATTTTATCTTGAGACAGGGTCTTATTAAATTGGTAAATTGCCCAAGGTTGTATTAACACTAGAGATCTTCCTGCTTCAGCCTCCCACATTTTGGGATCACAGGCATGCACCACCACACCTGTTATGTCTTATTAAAAAATAAATGTCAGCCAAGAATGGTGGTGCACACCTGTGATCCCAGAACTCAGGAGGCTGAGGCAGGAGGATTTCCTTGAGTTTGAGGCCACCCTGGGCTTCATAGTGAGTTCAAGGCCAGCCTGGACTACTGTCTCAAAAAAAAAATAAAAATAAAAAATAAAGAAATAAAGTTTCAATCCAGCCTGGACAACTTAACAATTTAGTGAGACCCTGTCTCAAAAATAAAAATATAAGAAAAGTAACTAAGGGTATAGGTCAGTGCAAAGGCCCTGTGTTCAGTCCCCAGGATTAAAAAAGATACAGTGATGACATGTATGTGGTCCCAGGCCACCTCCACTGTGTCAGCTGGAGGAAGAGCAGGAGCCCCAAAGTTCTTCAACTGCTCCCCACTGGGCAGGTCCAGCCAGAAGCCGGCAAGGAGAGAACTTTGACCCCATTTGCTCATGTAAGTCAGCTTCCTGGGACATAGAGCAGGGAGGAGAATGAGGGGAGGATGGAGGTAGCATCCCCGGTCTCACAGTGCCTGGGCCTAAGCGTTTAAAAATATCAAAATATCACTTAAACTCCTGCAATCCCAGAACTTGGAAGGCTGAGACAGGAGAATTGCTGGGAGTTCAAGGCCAGCCTGGACTACATAGTGAGACCCTGTCTCAAAAAACAGAACAGAGGTCCTAAGTTCAGTTCCTAATTCAAAAACAACAAAAATCAAAGAAAAAAATCGCATTTAAGTCCCACCTTCCTGATCGTTGCTATATTTGGTACCACATCTCCTATTATGTGCTTAATATGTATTTAAATTGATTTTTGTTTGCGACAGGGTCTGGGTATGTAGTCCAGGCTGGCCTTAATTAAATGGAAAAGAGATTCACCAGGCATGGTGGCACATACCTGTAATCCCACCACTCCGAAGGCTGAGGCAGGAGGATCTGCAAAGTTTGAGGCCAGTCTGGGTTCTGTAGTGAGTTTGAAGCCAGCTTGGACTACATGGTGAGATCCTGTCTCAAACAAACAAACAAATTACAATGATTGATGGTTATGCAACCTTGTAAACACATGAAGAACCATTGACCTGGACATGGTAAAAGCTAGAAGGTTATTACATGTGATTTATATATCTTAAAAAGTTAAAAATAAATTCCCTCTCCCCTCAAAAACTGTTAGGACACAACATTACCAAAGAAATTGAATCTAAACTCAATTTTTTTTCTAGTACTTGCAGTTGAACCCAGGGCCTTCACACTGGTCTATATCTTCAGCCTTTTTTTTGAGACAAGGTCTCACTTTATGGTTCAGGCTGGCCTCAAACTTGTAGCAATCCTCCTGCCTCAGCCTCCTGAGTGCTGAGATTACAGGCATGTGCCACCATGCTACACAGACCTTCTTTTATCTTTTACTTTGAGACAGGGTCTCACTAAGTCCCTAAATCTTCCAGGTTGGGCTCAACCACTTGTGATTCTCCTGCCTCAGCCTCCCAGTGTGCTGGGATTGCAGCATGCACCACAATGCCCAGCTATTCCTCCCCGCACCCCACTCCTTTTTTTTGAGACCAAGTCTCACTATGTAGCCCAGGCTGGCCTCAAACTTGCAGTGATCCTCCTGCCTCAGTCTCCTAAATGTTAGCCACCAGGCTAGGCTCCTCTTCCTTCTTAAAGTATTTCTCACCCCCATCCCTTCCCAGCTCCAGGTATAGGCTGCAAACTGTCCCTGTGGCTCCTAGTCCTAGTTCCAGCTGACTCGGCCTTCAGCACAGAGTGGACAAGCCCGTGGATCTTTATAACCAAGTGAGTGAACACCTCCTCTCCTCAAAGACACAGCCTGTCGTTCGAACAACTAGCAAGGCTGAGGCAGGAGCATCAAAAGTTCAAGACCAACCTGGACAAGGTAACAAAACCTTGTCACAAAATAATAAAATAAATAAAAGATGGAGATGTAGCTCACTGGCAGAAGGCCTGGCATGCAGACAGCCCTGAGTTCAGTTCCCAGTACCACAAACAACAAAACCACCGAGCTCCCAAACAAAATATTGCCAGACCAGTGGCCTGCCTACACCTCCGCCCTCTCGGCTCCAGCACCCCAGAGCTGAGAGCCGATCCTCAGCTCTGCTCAGAATCGAGCTGGATCCGCTGCCCTGGGCGTACTGACACGGTCCCCGAGGCCTTTGGCTTTGAGGACCCCAGCCCCCCTCAGGCCACGCTTCGGGAGCCACGGGAGTAAGGCGAATCTGTGAAGCACTTGGAATCTTACTTGGCAAGGGCGGGATAAGCATCATATATTTTTTAGCTAAATCTAAACCAATACTTAACACATCTCAAACTTTTTCTTTTTTCATGACTTTGCTGGAGGTGAAACCCAAGGCTTTGCACATGTTAGGCAAGAGCCCGGCCTCCAACTGTTCTTAAATAAATCTGCGCGGCCCGGGTGGCTTTAGGGCCTTGGGGCCCCCAGAGTCCTGGCTTCGAGGTTGAGGCCCTCATGGTCAGCCGCGGGGGCTCAGCTGCAACAGCCTGGATGCTGAGGGCGAGCCCGAGCGGGTGCCCAGGCTCCCGCACCCTTGGGTGAGGGAGGGAGGGCGGTCAGGAAAGGCGCTCGGGGATGGACAGGGGGCTGATGGACAGGATCATTCAGCACAGCCGTAAGCACACGGGGCTGGGACCAGAAACCTCTGGTGGCTGAGAGGCGCGGGTCAGCCGCGACCCCTCCCGGGGGCGGGGCCTGCGGGCGGGGCGGGGCCTGCGGGCGGGGCCGCTCCCATGGTGCGCTCGGCCGCCGGGGTCCCCGCCTCTCGCTGGGGAGAGCACGCTGGGGCCCGGGTTTCGGAGAGGAGTGTGTGTGTGTGTGTGTGTGTGTGTGAGTGTGTGTGTGTGTACGTACGCGTGTACTTTGTCCCCGCACAGGAAGATAAGGACTGCCTGGAGCTTGCAGTGTGTAGTAAACAGACCCCAAAAGATAGGGTTCCCTCTCACGAAGCCTGCTGCTCAGTGGCAGAAGTGATTGGAGCGTTCCTGTTGGTCTTTCC